GATCCTGGTATTGTAGTTGACTTGTCACAGCTCCAGTCCAGTTGCTTCAGCTCTCTGCTCTTCAATTTATTTATCAGAAAATTGTCCTTCTTCTCTCTCTTTTGCCTCCTTCCCTCCTTCTTCCCATCTTTCCCTCCTTCTTTCCTTTCTTTCCTCTTTCTTTCCTCCCTCTCTTCCTTCCTTCCTTTTTTTCCTTCTTTTTTTTGACAGAGTGCAGGAAATTCTACCCCCCAAATATGGTACCTTGGCATGCTCAGTATTTTAAGCTGAAGGAAACAGAGAAAACCGCAGAAGCAGGAAGGTCTTTCTGACCTCTCTCGAAGACCCTCACGTGATAGGTGTCCTGCCCTACATCCAGAGAGAAGGAATGTTCCATAGACAGACTAAGAAGAATCTGAAGAATCAGGCCTTACTAAGTGCCCTCCAGGTTATCTTTAAGTCATACCCCCTTTTTGTCCAATCGTGCCTCTACATTCATCATCAAACCTAAGCATAAAAATACGGTGTCTCCTGGGTCTCTGGGTCTTCATTTTTGAAGACTTGTGTCACATAAGACATGAATTAAATATGTTTGTTACGCTTTTCTGTTGCTAACCTGTCTTTGGTTATAAAGGTATCAGTCATCAACCTTGTGATGGGTAAAGCAAGATAGTACTTTTTCTCCTCTATACTTTCTTTTTTCCTTTCTTCCCTTTTCTTTCTTTCCCTTCCTCCCTTCCTTTCTTCCTTCTCCCCTTCCTTTCTTCCTTCCTCCCCTTTTCCAAACGTTCTCCCTTTTCTTTTCTTCCCTTTAATTTATATTTACTAAACGTCTCCATTCTCAAGGAGAGAGCAACAAGCAAATACAAATGTTGTCATTTAAAAATAAATTAATTTTTAAAAATGAAACATTAAAATAACAACACAAGGCTGTTGTAGTTAAATGAACAAATAAAAAGGAATAAACTTTGTATGCATTCGTAGAGCACTATATAAAACTATGATATTATTGTTATGGGAGAATGAAATTCCTAGACAGACCTGATGATATAGAGATTAAAAACTTGGACTTTGAGATTACTAGAGAAACCTGAGTTTCAACTCTACTAGCTGAGTGACCATGGGCACATTACTTAAAGTTTCCAAGTCTAAATTTACTCAGCTGTGAAATACTGTGTGTTAATAACAGTACATAACTCAAAGGCTGTTGCAAAGATTGAGTGAGATTTTATATGTAAAATGCTAAGCACAAATGCCTGACATATAATAAATGCTAAATAATGATAGCTATTATTATTATTATCATTGTTCGTTAGGTGAGGCAGAGTAACTTGTACTGTTGTCATTTGTGTTATGTAAAATAACGATAATAATCTCAGAGGAAGCAAAGGTTGGTGGGGTTGGGGGAATCAGGACTTCTCCTGAGAACTGTCAGTTTCCTCTAGAGAAAGGAATTCATTGAAGGAGAGATGGGACTGTACCTGGGGTAGAAGCACAATAGGGTGGTGGTTAAGGCTGATATTTGTAAGCCCTCTCACTTGTTGATCGCCAACCTCTTCCTATCACCTTCTGAAGATCTTTTTATCAGTTCCTTACTGAGTTTGTCCAGTATTACCTCTTAGTGTCCCTTGGCCAGAGATTTCTCTTGGAAAAATCAGCTGACAGCTTGAAAGTCTCACTCTTTTTCCTATATCTGTCAAAATTCTATTTATTCTTCATGGCCCAGTTTAAATATCAACTTTTCATGCAGCCTTTCTGGGCTGCCCTAAAATGCCATTCAGAACACCTACTCTGTGTTCTCACTGCACTGTTAGCAACCAGTAAAGCGCAATTATGTTAGAGAGAGTGGGCAAATCTCTCTGTGCAATGGCGATAATAATTTGTCTCTTGTATTAGACCGTGAGCTCTTTGAGGGGAGGAACTGCACTGCCTTCAGCTTTGGATCCTGTATCTTAGTCACTTGTGCCTCCTACATTTTAAAACTAGACAAATGACATTGCATTGTTTGCATGGAATTGAATCCTATGAAGAAAAAAGCAATGGGTGTGATCTTCCAACTCTTTTAAGATCTGGTCAGAGCTGACCTAGGAGTACAAAACCAAAGAAAGGGCTCAAGTACTCTGACTTACAGCTCAAATCCTTACCTTCATTATAAGCTCCTACTGGATCCCAGAGGCCCTCCATGACTGAGGAGGTGGCCCTGGGTCCCTCAAAACTGAAGTTCAAGATAACCCACTTGCAATATTTGGATGAGTGCCTTGATGACATAGACTCTAGAGATCATGAGGCAATGAGAATGTTTCACTTAGCTTATTTTTTGCCATGTTTTTTGCCGTGTGCTTATCAGGACATTCAGATGGCTGGAGTTAGAAAAGGGTGTGGAATCTATATTTGGCTAAATGCAATGAAGAAATTCCTTGGCTGAAAAAGAAAACAATCTTTCTTTTCTTAAAAATTTAAGTTGATGTAAAAAAAAAATCTTTGCAGTGCAAGATAGAGTTTCTTTTTCCTTTTCTCTCTGTCTTGGGGGCCTTATCTGATTTTAATCATTATTGGCCAGATATGATTTGAAACAGCTGAAGCTAAAATTTCCTGGGGGAAAAAAAAAGAAATCTTCAGTTGCAACTATTGCAGCTATCTACCTACTCTACTCCCCTCCTCCAAGGTAGCATGGGCTATTGAGTGTAAATGTTGAGGATTATGAATTTTACTTTTAAAAGGCTTTAATGCCCTGCAGAGTTTTCTCAGCAATTTTCAAGTCTTGTTAACCATAATATATCCAGTTCTTGATTATCCACAAAAAGGGGAAATGAATAGTGGCACAGATAATCCAAAACAGAAAAACAATCAAAATGTTTCTTATATTTTACTTTGGAATGCTTTGTATGACTTTTGGGGGGTTCCAATTTTCCTTCCCAGTGATGTTCTGCTCAGGAAAAAGTTAAAATGAGTTTGCATTCCCTAAGGCCACACTGGGGGATGTGGCCTAGCCACATGCTGGGTGGCAGGGAGAAGGCAGCCCGAAATCTAAGGGAAAAGAATTCCACTGATAATCTAGAAGTGGAAAATGCTCCTATGAATAATTAAGGGTTGACCAGAATATAATTCAGTTTTATAAATTTGTGTGGACAAGTTTTTGGTCACATTAAAAAAAATATAGTTATCCTCTTAAGAAGCGTTAAAACTGGTATCAAAGAGAACTTTGGTATCAAAAACAAATGACCTCAACGTTCTTTACTTTTCACAGCCCAGTGGCACTGGCACTATGTGAAGGAGTCAGGATCTGTTGATGGGGCCAAGGGGACTCAGTTCTCAGCTAATGTGTTCCAGCTCCATCCTTCAACCTTCTTCAATTGAACATGTGTAGATTTATAAAATGTCAGGCTATGTACTACTGTCCCATCTACCATGGTAGTTACCATTATCGTTCCTATTTTACAGATGAGAAAACTAAGGCTCATACAGGCTCATTGTTAATTTAAGTTCACAAAGCTAGTCACTGTGAACAGTTAACTTTGAGCTCAGGACTATCTCACTCAGTTTGGATAACTAAGTTAAGAGTCAGAAGTTAAGGGGTATCAAGCTTTTCATTATTTGATGTTTTCCTGGTTTCCCCTCATTGTTCTTAGATAGTAAATTCAATTAAATATTTATGAGCTCTGACTACTAGGTTGCTCATATGTATATATGTATAATATATATGTGTGTGTGTATATATATATATATGTAATCATGATATTGTGTTACAGGAAAAAAATCTAATAATATTTAGATATAATCTCTGCCCTTGGGAGTTTTCAGTTTAAAATAGAAACCAGATGAATAGAATAGAGTGAGAAACCATGTGACTATACAGTAAGGCCAAATGAGACAAGTAGATATAAGAAATGGCAGGGCAGGGTCAAATCACATCAGGATGGGAACAAAAAACAAGAGATTTCAGAAAGGCTAATGAATGACTGAATGGAAGTCAGTGGGCAATTTCAATTTCAATGTGCTATGTATGACGTGAGTAAGGAACCAAGTGCACACTGCTATTGAGATGGGCCTAAACAACTGGATGCCATTTTGTTGAGAGCTCTGATGTAGATGGGATGGAATTCCAAGTGTTGGGAATACTTCTAGCAGGTAAAGTTAAGAGCGCACCAGATGTGTTCAGAGAACCTTAAGTTGATCTGAAAAGAGAATCTGCTCAAGGAGAAAAAATGTAAGCAAAAATGAAAATAGTAATAACAAAAAAGCAAAATGGCATCATAACCTTGTCATAAAAAAATCAGAGTTAGGGACAGAAATAAGAGAGAGAAGAGAAGAGAGAAATAAGCCATTTTTAAAACCCCTTATGTTTTCACATGTTTTAGAAAATTTAAATACTCACCGAGCAATTTGGTATAAAACAATGGGCATATTTTTCAGTAATTTTAGTGCTGGAAGGAGAGGAAAAGAATAGGTAACAAAAACAAATGTATTAGTCTAAGGCCACTCTATTGCTCAAGTGGATCCCTAAAAACTCAGGGGTCCTAACTCCTACTCCAGTGATCAGCTGCTAGCTAGGCCAGCTTTGAGGTATGACGTTAGCACCAAGGCCAAGCTTCTGGGAAGCCTTAGAGTAGCTTCTGGGAAGAAAGTAGGGATTCCAGGATGTTTACAAAATATAACTCAAGGATTATGTGTCTTCAATTTGTTCTGGAAGTTTCCACACTCATCTTAGCTAAATCACATTCCTTTTCCCTTGCAGACTTTTTTGTCTGTCCTTGATTTCTTCTTTGACATCTTCTCTTCCCTCATTATCTTTTACTCTATCAAACCTGATTTTACCCCCTGTATAAAAATGCAAAAGCCATAGTTGTTTACTCCTACACACCCTTAGCATTTTCTGGGTCTTTTTCTCTTTAGTCTCTGGAGCCTTCGATATCTCTAGGCCACATTCTAGCTCCTATGAGCAATTTCACATTACTATGGACGTGACCTCTATGAAACTGGCCACGGTACTCTGGGTTTTCAATGTACAATTCTATTTCCCTTCCTGTAGTGGATGCTGTGGGGGCACCACCTCCTTGAGGACCAAGGCACTCCAGCTGCCAGGAATATTGGCTGCTAACCTCACACAGCTGAGCCTTCCATGAAAATTGCTCTCTGCCAAAGAGAACTTCCTAGTCCAAGGTCATGTCTACTCTCCAGAGGTAGCTCTTAACTAATGTCTGTCCAGACCCTTTGCCACAATGTTAGACAACTGTGTGAACGGCTATTAGAGCTCCAGAGTGTCCCAAGGGATCTGGGTAACCCTCTCTTGTACATGCCCCACTGTCCAGCTTCTCCCTTTGCCCAGTCCTGCTTCCTTCACTCTCTCGTAAGTATCATCCCTGAGAGCACTCCTAATAACTCCCTGAATGCAAATCTCCACCTCAGAGTCAATTTCCCAGGGAACAGTCTCAATACCCTATATTTATTGTGGCTTGTATGTTGTCACTGTAGTAACCTGTCTTGTAATGAAAGAAAAAAAAATTACAGTCTTTGAAGGGGTCAGAGATCAAGGTTTTGGTAGCCTCTGTACAACAGAATTCATTGAGCCAGGCCTATAGCCTAGTCCAGTCATTTTCTTACCTCTTGACCTTGAGTTAAGTAATGCATCATTCCTGTGTACTGGCTTACTTTGGTTCAAATGGATAATAACCTATATAATGGAGTGATGGGGGAGAAAAATGAACAGATGGTTAAACATCCCTAAAAGACCATTACATACTGTGAAAATACTTAAATTCTGTAGTGAAGTCTCCAAAATTTTAATCTCCATAAACTGAGATTCTACAGAGTCCACTTCCTTGGAAATAGTTTTGAAAATACCCTTTGCTTCACTTTCTGTGGATTATGCAACCACAGAATTCCTCCGGGGACTCAGCCACACCCCAAATCTTAGCCTAAATCACTGAGTTTGACACAGATTCATAAGAATTTGGCAAGCAACTCACCCACATTTTCTACCAAATTAAATCCAAATGTTGCCTAGGTTGGATGAGAGTTCAGTCAAGAGAAGGAGGCCCAGGCCAATGGACTGCTAGATGGTGATATTCGAAACCCAAATGAGTTTGGCTTGGCCCTAAGACTAGGAGGAAAGCTTTGAACCATAGCATATGATATAAGCCCTGGTCCAACTCAAAACACTTTTTACTTTTTTTTTTTTTTGGTTGTTATTTCAGAAATGCACTGACCCTGCACTCTACAGGACACTATGCTCATTCAAATGCTAAAGTCAGTCCTAGGAAACTGCAGGCGGCTGTAGGGTCAAAGTAGAGTGGGGAAGCTGGTTCTTATCACCTGTTTCTTCAATTCCCTCTAGAACAAGAGCAAAGCTTGACAAGATGGGGTGGGGTAGTAGTGTGTGAAAGGACTGGAAGAACTACTAATTCAGGGCTCCTGTGAAGAACCCGATCAGCAGTGGGCTTTGTGTGGCGGCTCTGATTGAATTCTCCCTCTTGACAGAGAAGGTGTTGGCCTCCTGCTTCCTGGAATAGTGGCTATGACTAACTCATGTAGCACTGGATACATTTATAAAACAGAGAAAGTTAGACTTTGCTGCTCACATCAAATTTTCTATCACAACTTCTCCTTAAATAATTATCCTTTTTTTTAACTTTTGTATTAGGTTTGGGGCACATGTGCAGGTTTGTTATATAGGTGAACTCGTGTCACAGGAGTTTTTTTGTACAGACTCATAATCCAGGTAATAAGCATTGTACTCAGTCGTTATTGGGTACAGTTCTACTCCTCTCCCTCCACCCACCCTCCCCACTCAAGCAGGCCCCAATATCTGTTGTTCCCTTCTTTGTTTTCATGAGTTCTCATCATGAATTTAGCTCCCAGTTATAAGTGAGAACATGCAGTATTTGGTTTTCTTTTGCTGTGTTAGTTTGCTAAGGAATAATAGCCTCCAGCACCATCCATGTTCCTGCAAAAGATATGATCTCATTCTTAAATAATTATCCTTTTCCTTTCCTTTTTCCCCTTCTCCTTTTCCCCCTTCTCCTTTTCCTCTACCTCCTCTTCCTCCTCATCTTCTTTTCCTTTCCTACCTCTTCCTCCTCCTCTCCCCACCCTCTTTCTTCCTCTTTTTTTCTCCCTAAGAACCTTCACACTCTCCACTGTCTTCAGGTCTCATCGATTGCTCCTCAAAAATCCCTCATTACACCAGCACCCCATCCCTGGGAAGACTTTCCCAAGCTGCATCACCCTGTCTCGACCCTCACCCCACACGATCATCTTCACCTCAACCCTCGCCACACTCCTGCACCTCCCATCACCACTAGGACTCCTCTCTCAGAGGTCTTGTCTCCTAAGGCCCTAGCTGCCTAGATAAACCAATGTGTTAATACCTATGGGAAAACCCATGATAAAACCAATATTAAAATATAGTATGTTTGAGTCTTGGCTTTGTCACTCCCAGGCCATATAACATTGGGTAAGACGTTTAGACTTTTTAAACTTCCATTTCTTCACCTCTAAAATACAGCTAAGAAAGACTCAACATACAGGGTCTCAGTTTACATTTAGCTTCCCCTGAAAGACATCTCTTGATCTTTCAAAATAAGATTAAATGCCCCTTGGCTATGTTCGCATGTCATTCACTCAATTCACTTGTCATAAAACTTGTCAGTTGCAGCCTAATTCCCAGTATAATTCCTGATTCTTATTACGAATGCCTGAGGGCAAGACGTATGGTTGATCCCCCTTGAAGCCCAGTGGCTAACACAATGTCTAGCACGTAGCTGGTACTAAAATAAGGGCATTAAATGAATGGGCCACCTCTGGAAGCATTTATAAATAGTGGAAATTGTTTCTCCCAGATGGCATGTTTATATTGGACCAGTGTCCTTTTTAGATCATGCCTTTGCTGGAGAAGAGACCATAATGGAAATATCAGGTGCAGGAAGATGTTTTGGTGTCACTCAAATAGCTCCATGTAGGTGGCCTCTTGCTCTCTCCAAACATCCAGCTGGCTCTGGGCCCGTGCACCTGAAGGGAGATATCTGAGACTCAGAACACTTCCTGCTTCATTTCAGTGACACCAGTTTGGCTCCATTTTCACCTCCAAGCTGGGATCAAATGTTCCCCAAGTGCAGAGAGTTAAGGAGAGATGTCTCATTCTCTCCCTTGACCTCCTCCCTTATTCCCCTCTTCTTATGTTTTACATAAAACTTTAAACGAGATTCCCAGAGAAAAGCCATATCCTTTGGTCAGGCCAGCAGCCTCCCCAACTGTGGGCTCTGGCACTTCTCTAAAAAGGTCAAAATGGGGATAGAAAGTTCTTGATGAGGTGCTTGAGTGCTTACGTTAATGGGAGAAGAGATAAAGAGGGAAATATGGAGGGTGTGGGATGTGTGAGACTGCATGTTCACAGGGAAAAGTAATGTTGTGCAGAAAGCCTACCACTGCTAATGAATCTGGTAAGAGGACAGGAAGGAAAGGGATTATTTCTGTTATGCCTTTTGGGAGACAATTTTCCATGTGTCTTACATTTTTACATCTGGCAGGTGCTGACAGTCCTTGTGCTGGGCTCTCTTTTTAAGGGTGTTTCCATAGTGGAAACATACATGGAAAAACGGAGCTGGGCTGGAGCACAGGGCAGGTGCACTTAGGGTCCATTATGCAAGATTTGGGTTTTCTATACTCAGGGCTTCTCTCTCATAAGACACCCCACAGTGTGTGCAGGTATCACCTGGCTCTCTTCACATTGTTCTGTGGGAATTGGGGCTTGGAGGGTCAAAGCAAATATGCTAATACTCACATTGCTTGCTGTGCTGTGAGTAAAGTCCATTGTCTCTGACCCAGGAATATTGTGTCTTCTGCCAGCATCCATGAATCCGTCAGGTTATCTTGTGAGCTTACAAGTAGTATAAAGTTTCAAACCCTTCACAGTTCTCGACCAAGCTCTGTTCTCTCTGCCTAAGGGCAGCCTGTGAAAGAATTCTGCCTTTATAGGTCTATGTGAACCCTATCTCCTATGAGAAAAGGAGAAGAGGGAAGAGAGAAAAAGAGCACATACTTATTGAATGTCCCCTGTTTACCAAGCCATGCTGGGCTGAACTGAGCTTCTCATACATTATCTCATTTAATCCTCATAACACCCTAGGAGTAGATATCGTCCTACCTCTTTCATAGGTGAAGAGTCCCAGGCTCAATAAAGTGAAGTGACTCGCCAAGATCACTCACAGAGTGTGAGGTTTAAACCTAAGCCCGTCTGTTAAGAGAGTTACTGATCTTTCTGTTACATCATTCTAGGAAGTCCTTTATTTTCTGTGTATTGAATTGACCAATCCAAGATAACAGGAGAGATGCTAACAAGTCTAAAATCATTTCCCTAACCACTCTGTTATCTGTTCTGTGATTTTCCCAACTCTATCCCTGGACGTATTCCTCAGCTTAATGAGCACTTCTTCATTTTTATAGTCTTTTGCCTTTCCTTTTCTAGGATCCCAGCCTCCAGCCAATGTTACTCATTTTGCTTAGCCTTGGACTTCTTGACGCTTGCTATTGCTCTAGGTTTTTTTTTTTTTTTTTGGAGGGAGGTCTATTCAGAAAGAAAGATGTGAAGCCCTTTCTCTGATATCACCATAGAATGAATAACACTGTCCAGACGTCACAGTTCTAAAGAATTCTTGTTTGGTTTTCAGATGTGACTGGAGTGATTTGCACCCGGATGCCTAGACTCGCCATCTGCTCAAAGATTGCTCAGAAAGCCCTCTCATGCATTCCCCTGCTGCATACCAGCCCATTCTGCCTGCAGCTGCTGTCTGCAGGACTTCACATCTACGCCACACTGTTTAAAAGCTGTGCTTCAAGAAATCACAAAAACATATGACTGCACCTACTACACAGCCTAAATGCGGCATAAGTTGACCTTGCTTTCTAAGAAGTGGGGCAAGAAAAGAAGTGGGGCAAGAAATGCTTTTTTGTGTGTGTCATGTCTGTTTTTCAATTAAGAGAGGAAAGCATTAGGCAGATGGAATGTACATGTGAGGATGAGGAGACAGAAAACAAGTAGCCCTTTCCATCAAGATAAAGAGTTTTCTGGGGTCGCTGGCTCTTGAATGTCACTCCTGATTTCTCTTTCCAAGGCACTGTACCACCAGCCTACTGAGATTGTGTGGGAGCTTTCATGGGGGTTATATTTCACTAATGGAAATAAATTTTGTGCATAATCTGAATGTTTATGTTTCTTTACAGAATAGACTTAGTTTAGCAATAAGCTAATAATACTGACATACCTCTAATTCTCTGGGGAAAAAATTTGCTACTCCAACTTCCATTCCTGCAACATCATCAAAGTACTCACAACAAGAATGAACCAATTAGCAACACTTATTAGCACTGCCTAGACTCAGTGTAAGCAGATTTTGAAATAAAAAGGAAAGCATGATGGGACATTCTTATGGTTTAAATATTTGTCTCCTCCAAAACTCACGTTGAAATTTAGACTCCAATGTAGGGCCGTTGAGGGGTGGGGGCTTTAAGAGGTGATTGGGCCATGAGGATCCTACCCTTACGAATGAATTAATCCATTCATGAATTAATGGGTTAGTGGATTCGTGGATAAATGGGTTATCATGGGAGTGGGACTGGTGGCTTTATAAAAGAGGAGGAGAGACCTGAGCTAGCACTCAGCCCCCTTGCCATGTAATGTCCAGCACCATCTCAAGACTCTGCAGGGTCCCCCACCCAGTAAGAAGGTCCTCACTAGATGTGGTCCCCTGATCTTGGACTTAGCCTCCATAGCTGTAAGAAATAAATTTCTTTTCTTCATAAATTGCCCAGTTTTAAGTATTCTGTTACAGGCAATAGAAAATAGACTAGGACACACATAGACCTTGCTTTATGGAGTTCATAACCAATTTGTAGAGAAAGACAATGATTCACGAAAAAGAAATAACCTACACCAGATGGTAGTTGAAAAGACACATGTGATCAGCACAAAGTGTTACCGAAGTTGTGAAAAAGGTATCATTAGTCTCCTAGCTACCAAGACTGTAAATGGAGGAGTTATCTTCAGACCCCAAACCTAATTCACTCCCACACAGGTTCCTTCAAAATGCCTCTTGCTGCCTCCTCTTTCTCCATTCTATGCCTAAAAGCATCACCTTACTTTAAGTCTTTATCAATTTATATTTAAATTGTTAAAACTTTTTACCTGTCTCCTTGCCGCTGGCCACTTCCCACTCCAACTCATGTGGAGCACAAATTAAACTTCCAAAAGCACCACTTTGATCCTTTTCCTTCCCTATTCAAATACTTCCCTGGATGCCAATTTCCAATTGAAAGGAAGTCAAAACTTGAGGATTGGCATGAAAGAAGGATCCAGGTTTGTGCTGACCTGGGCTTGGTCCTAGGATGGTAACCGTGGGAAAAAGAAAGAAAAACATGAGCAAGTCGAGCAAGACTTGATGGTTGGAATACAGGACTGAGAGAAGGTAGCATTACCAAGAACCTAGAAGACTGGAAGATGAGCAAAAGGCAAAAATAGAGAAGTGCACATTTAGAAGATATGTTGAGGTGAAAAAACTCAGGGCTTTTGCAACATCATCTACCACTGAGTATGCACTTCGAGGGACATAGGAGGGGCACCATAGATGCTTGCTGAGAAAATAAATAAAGGAATGAATGAATAAACCTCCTGTTTGTATTATGTCCATCGTTTCACTTTATAAAAACCTTAGTTGGGAGTTCTTATTATTATCACAATTTTACTGATATCTAAACCAAGACTCAGAGAGGTTACACAATTCTCCCAATATCCCCCAGTAAATGAGAGGCAGTGCTGAGATGTGAAGCCAGGTCAGCTCGATGTCGCAGTCCATCTAGCACGTTGCCCTCTAGAAGCATCTAATTGTGCAGCACTTGGAGACGTGGAGCTGTGGGACACATTTGCAAAAGGTGATTGTTTATCATCAAAGCTGCAGGAGACACTAGAGGAATGTTGCAGAGGACAAAAAAGTAGACATTCTGGACTTCAGCAATGGGAAGTTTTGGAGATAGAGGAAGCAGAACTCTTGAAGGGAACAGAAGAGAAGACCTAACAGAAGAAGAATCATGGAACCAAAAGAGAAAGGAAATTTGTCAGCAAATACGTGATTAACATCATGAAAAGCTACCGAAATAGTCTTAACAGGAGCAGTGAGGCAGCCTGGTTTGAATGGAAGGAAAGAGCCTGGACCCCAGCAGATAGGCTGTGTTAGAACCATCCTTCTGTTTGAAGCTTGAGCACAGAGGGGAGAAAAAATAACAACTTGTTTTCACTTACTGCGAGGGACATGGTGGACACTCCTATAATAAAAGACATTAACAAGAGAAAAGCGTAACGAATTTATTTTAAAAGTTTTTTCTGACTCAGGAGGTTTCAGAAATAAAAAAACCCAAAGATCCAGGGAAAACTTTGTATTTTTATGGTAAATCTGATGAAAGAAGTGTGAAGAAATGTGATTGGACAACAGAAAGGGGCAGGGCCTAATGGTAATAAATTGTGTGTTGGGCGGGGGGGGCGTGTTACTCAGAGAGGCCTGTTTGTTCAGACGCTTCTTGGCCTCTCTGTGCAGCATTTCTTTCCTCCGGGTATGGAGCAGGTCATCGCTCACATGAGGGTCTTGTGATCTACTTGCAAGAAAGGTAAGACAGAGAATTCCTTTCTATTTGGCTCTCGCACAGAAATGTGGTGGAAGGTCAGAAATGTGGTGGAAGGTCAGAGCGAGCTTGCTTCCTAGGCCCTCTCAATCTCCTTCAGCTCAAGAGGGCTCTGGGGTAGTGTTTTCTGACTCCCAACAAGCAAGCTGCCTAAATGACTTGAAATGTATTATTTGTATTTATCACATGGTGATAATATTCATTTGGCAGGATTAAATGTGATAATGCTGTCATATAGCAAATAACATCTAACATTTACAAGGCACCAGGCAACGGTCTAAGCACTCAACACATACTATTTCGTTTAATCCATACAACTCTGTTGGGTAGATTTTGTTGGAGTCAGCTTGTTTGCAGCTGAGGAGACACAGGTTCAGAGAGTTTAAGTAATTTACTTAACGTCACACAGCTTGTGAGTAGCAGGGCTGGAATTTAAACCCAACCATCTGCTCCCAGAAGCAATGCTCTTCACCATCATGCTATGCTAAATTGTGTTAAACAAGTTATCTGTAAATATTATTGCCTTTCCTCCCAGGAACATGTGAGCTACATTAATTTTTTAAAAGTAGGTAGATTATAAATATTTAAACCAGAGGTGAACAAACAACAGTCCATAGTCCCCAAATCTGGCCTACCACCTGCTTTATTGTATGACCTGCAAGCTAAGAATTGTTTTCACATTTCTTAATGATTTAGAAAAATTAAAAAATAGTATTTTGAGGCACATGAAAATTATAGTGAAATTCAAATTTTAGTGTCCATAAATAAAGTTTTATTGAAACACAAACATTCTTTTTTTTACATATTATTTATGCCATTTTTCAAGAGGAAAATTGAATACTTGTCAGGGGGACTACAAAGTCTAAAATATTTAATAGCTGGCCCTTTACAGAAAAACTTTGCCAACCTCCAGCTCTAACCAAAAACTTTCTTTGGCTAATGGAAGAGAAGCGATTTAAGGGCTTGAATTTCTCAGGAAATTCTTCACCCCTCCTGGCGCCCCATCCTCTCATATTCTCCATGGGCTGCACGCACACCTGCCCTTCATTAGAGAATGGTCACGGGGAGGAAGGAATTCCCTGACAGAGTGGTTTGTTGCGTTTCTTGGGTGGAGAAAGAAGGCGGGAGGAGGCTTGCTGGGTAGGGTGAAGGTGAGGCTTTTTTCTCTGTCCTGAATTACAGCCGGATGAGTATATCCCTGTTTCATCTCCAGAACTGTAACTTTTCATAAGCATGGAAGTGCAGGAGCTCAGCACTGTGGAGGAGACACAATGGTCAAGTCACATCACAGGTGTCTTCTCTCTGGGACTGGTCCATGATTGGCAAAGCAACCAGCTCAGCCCCCTTCCCAGTGTCAGCTTTCTCAGGCTTACAGTGACGAATTCACGGGGAAGTGGCAAAGCCTCGGGGGCTTTTGCACAAAGCCAGGAGCCAGTCACTAGGGTTCTGTGTGGACCTTACTCAGCGACCTTCCAGCCTGTTGGTGGCAAGTCAACTGCTCTCCTTCTGCCTTACTTAGCATAATTAAACTGAAGTAAGATAGTTTACCAAAGTCAGTGTGTTCAGGCATCCAGCCTATAAGATATTAAGTAAGCAACAGAATGACAACAGCATGGATGTGTAGGTTTGTTTAGTTTTTTAAAAAATTTTCTAAAATTGTGGCAAAATATATATAACCTAAAATTTACCATTTTAACCATCTTTAAGTGTAGCACTAAATACATTCACAGTGTTGTGAAACCATCCTTCTCCAGAACTATTTCATCTCGCAAAACTGAAACTCTACCAATTAAACACTCCCAATCACTTTCTCCTTCCAGTCTCTGGCAAACGTCTTTCTGCTTTTGGTCTCTGTGAATTTGACTACTCTAGGTACCTCATATAAGTGGAATCATACAGTATTTGTTCTTTTGTGACTGGCTCATGCCACTTAGTATGTCTTTGACCTTCATCCATATTGTAACGTGTATCAGAATTTCCTTTTTTATTTATTTATTTTTTTTCGAGACGGAGTCTCCCTCTGCTGTCCAGGCTGAAGTGCAGTGGCGCAAACTCAGCAAACTGCAACCTCAGCCTCCCAAAGTCAAGGGATTCTCCTGCCTCAGCCTCCCAGGTAGCTGGGATTACAGTGACCTGCCACCGCACCCTGCTAATTTTTGTATTTTCAATAGAGACAGGGTTTCACTATGTTGGCCAGGCTGGTCTCGAACTCCTAACCTCAAGTGATCCACCAGCCTCAGCCTCCCAAAGTGCTGGGATCACAGGTAAAAGCCACCACACCCAACTGAATTTCCTTCTTTTTAAAGGCTGAATAATATTCCATTCCATATGTATGCCGCGTTTTGTTTATTCATCCATTGATGGACCCATAGGTTGATTCTACCTGTTGGCTGTTGTGAATAACGCTGCTATGAACATGGGTGTACGCGTGTCTGTTTGAGCCCCTGCTTTCAATTCTTTTGGGTATATGCCCAGCAGCAGAATTGTTTTATCATATGGTAATTCTATTTGTAATTTTTTGAGGAAGTGTCCT